TATATTGCGGTCGGTTCATAAGCAGTGTTGCCAAGTCCGCGGTTTTCCCGCGGAATTGGGCTACTTTAACTCTGTTGCCGCGTTGTTGTTCATGTCCGCGGGTTGAAGCGACCCGAATAACGTGATATTTAGTAAAAATCAGTATCAGTATCAGAATCCAATTTGCTAGTAAAAAAAAAAGAAAGAAAGAAAAGAAAATCGGAATTCTGAATCCGCTATGATCAGCGCATAACTAATTAAAATACTAAGTAAAAGGCCTCAAATTTGAAGTACAATCTTGGATGTCTTTTTCTATCAATTCTTCAATAGGTAGATCTTGTCTTTCATAAAGGCCGAGGTCAGGGATCTTGGGCCTAAAAAGGTTGGTGACCACTGTTCTAAAGGAACAATAAAGAAATATAATTACAACCATATTCTGGGAACCATTTACACACTGACATGATAATCAAACATATGTAAATAAACACTGATTAGACACTCAAGTCTGCATCCTTAACATTAATAGCAGCCTAATCAAAGCAAAAAGGCATAATATGGTTGCGCAATGATGCGTTATTAATGTAAACACACGCGTGACACAGTATAATAATACAGCCGATGCTAATACTGATTAATGCGTTTCTCTTGCGGCGAATTACGGCCGCTACAGCGCTCAAAACTCGCATATGATAACCGCAGAACAATTGCGGGACATCAATAACATACATTAGATAAACATACATATGACATATCAAGGTATAAAACGCATTATACAGAACATAAAACAAGCGTGCAGAGATGAGAATTCACCAAACTGTCTTCCTGCATGTCACACTGTAAAATCAGTCCATGTGGACAACAACTTTGGTTCCTAGGATAGGCTTTCGTACACTTCTGATGCACTACAAGAAGTCTTAATCTGTTCTTTTTTTAAGTAAAAATAAACCTACTTGTCCTTGAAACAAGATAATTATACTTAACATATTAAGACTTGTTCAGAAAATATATTTAAAAAATCTATATGAATATGAATAAATATAAGAAAATACACATAACAAAAGTTTGAATAATTGCATTTTTTAAAAAATGTTTAAAAAGTTTTCCATTCTCACCAAGTCTGATGAAAAATAAAGTAAAAACAGTCATATTGCGAAATATTACTACAATTTATA